GGTTAATGTCAAAAGCAGTAATCGGGTTTAATCATCTGTGGGATGAGAAATACTAGTGACAGCTTGCAAATAATGTGAAATGCCACCATTGTTTATTGGGACACACTTTGAGATGTTTCCAGTATCTGCAAGCTGTGCATTGAACTGAACTAGCATTTATCACCTCTTTCGAAAAGCCCTGAACAAACTACCTTTTAACATGAGATTTTTTAGAGGATGCTGACTATAGCCTAGTTAGGGGGTTGTTTTTAAGAATGCTGAACAAGGTATAGTTGTGTGTGTGTGTGTGTGTGTGTGTAGATAGATAATTAAATAAATAGATAAATGCATTTATATAACTCTAGCTCGGTTGATACCAAATTATCACTGCAGGCCCCAGTTTTAATGAGACAAACGGCTATTGCTTTCCACCAGGTTTTTAACAGTATGTCCTGACACCTGCAGATTCAAACATTACATTGCCCAGTAGAGGCACTGAGAAAGTAAGTGTGTGTGTGTGTGTGTGTGTGTGTGTGTGTGTGCATGATACTTGTAATCTATTTACCTCAGTTCTGACCTCAAGCTAACTGGACAGCCTGCATGTCAGCACCACAGAGTTCTGGGGGCTGTAAGTGATGACCTTGTTAACATGCAATTAGGACAGCCAAAGTGGGAAACCGCTTCCAGGTATTAGGAGGCCTGGGATGTAGATGGGTTTTTAGCTCCCTCCATGTGGAGAATGTGATGATGTATTGGAAGAGGGACCGTGGCATTCAGGAAATGTGTTTTGTTTTCTACACAGTCATAGTTTTTTTGTCAATCCATAATGCTTAATATACATTCATGTTTTAGTTGCAGTTTATAAAACACAGTGATGGTACTACTATCCTTGATTATCCCATGATTCTTAATGCCTTATTTAACAAAATTTACATACTGCTTGATTGTGAGAAAACCTTTCAGATTAATTCACACAAAAAATGCTTGTTGAGTTGTAAGCTTTGGATGCTAAGTAACTCACTTGATAGTAGTCTCATAACAACAACAACAACAACAACAACAAATTTATTTGTACCCCACCCATCTGGCTGGGTTTCCCCAGCCACTCTGGGCGGCTTCCAACAAAATATTAAAAATACAATAAAACACCAAGCATTAAAAACCTCCCTAAACAGGGCTGCCTTCAGATGTCTTCTAAAAGTCAGATAGTTGTTTATTTCCTTGACATCTGATGGGAGGGCGTTTCACAGGGCGGGTGCCACTGCCAAGAAGGCCTGCCACCTGGTTCCCTGTAACCTAACTTCTCACAGGAAGGGAACTGCCAGAAGGCCCTCTGAACTGGACCTCACTGTCAGGACCTCATAGGTCTGTACCAGTCTAAGCTGGGTTGGACTAAAGCATTTTGCTGCCTAGGAAAAGATGGTGCTCTCCCCAATGCCAGATGCAGAAAACAACCTGACCGAAAGCTGAATTTTATTTAATTGGTACCAATGGAATAGTGCCAACCTTCTTGCCCCTCTCCCTCTTGGTTACTGGCAGTAACCTCTGTGTTGGGAAGCCAGGTGAGCAATGCCACTTCACCCTGCCCTGTCCCACTGACGACTACTGGTCCAAGGTGGAAAGAACACCTTTCTCATGAAGTGATTAATCACATGTGGGCATGGGAACCAGGGTCTCTCTTCCTTCTTAAGGTGGGAGCAGCTGTTACCATAAGAATAATGTTTGCATATGTAGGTCACCCAGACAAACATACGTTCATGACAAAACAGAAGCATATTTGAAAATAATAAATTTGGGGTGAGGGGAAGCGCTTTTAATCTGAGAACTCATATTACTGAGAGAGTCCATGTGAAACTTACTAGAAAGAGGAAAAATCATTAGGCTGTTGTCTAATGGATGTGTAGGCAGAAAAAAGTGTCATATTCAGGTTTCCTTATGACCGACTACATTAGCAGTTTATAGTGATTATTGAACATCCAATAAAAAGATGAAATGCTCCTTTGAAAATGCAAGTTCCTGTGTTTTAAAAGCAAGCTGTTTGCTACTTGTGCAATTTGCTACTTTGTGGTTAATTATGCAGAATGAGATGTCCACTTCTCCTAGCAATTTCATAATTTTTTTTGCCCCCTAGTCATTTTGGTCATTAAAAAAAATAGGATGGATGTAAAGAAATGCTGGATTCCCTGAAGTATACAATTCAGAGCACGTTTGATAACACAAGAAGTTTAGAGCAATCAAACATTTGCAATGGCTTATCAAAATGAAAAAAACAAACAAAAACCATACAAAAAGTAGTCAACTAAGTCACAATGCAACTGAATAATACCATCAGCTGCCGCCCTCCTTGCACTTCCTTCCCTCCCTGATTTAAGAACATAAGAAAATCCTTGCTGGATTTAGTCCAACATCCTGTTCTTACTCTGGGCAACTAGATGCCCATTGGAAACTTGCAAGCAGGTGTACTGCCTCCAACAGTGGAGCCTTATCTCGATGAACGAATTTGGTTTCTGACACACACACACACACTCTGGAGGGAGCAAAGTGATAAATGATAGAAGTCTTAGATATTTCGGTTTCCTGATTAACAAATGACTTTAGAAGAAGGATTCATTTAAAAAAAAAAAAAGCTGGACAAAACTTGAACACTTTCTGAAATGTTGAACTATGAAATGGGACACTCCCTGACTGGCAAAGTGTCCTTGATGTAATTTTAAACCACAAGAGCTGTTCAGACAGCACTATTACATTCAATTTTCAGTATTATTTCTTTGTTAGAGATGCATCTTTGAAAAGTAGTCATATTGCTTCCAGGAAAAAAGAGAACATTTCCAAACAAACCATGTTATTATATGAATGAGTGGCTAAATGAGTAAGTAGATTGGTCACATTTAGAGAACATTTGTGGGTTCTCATATGCAGACCTTGGAATAAAGGAAGGAAAATATTAACAACAAGGTCATTGTGTTGGGGGCCACATTTGGAGCAATTTTACACGCCAACTTTATATAATGTAAACTGGTCTAAACTAGTGACCATTATTATGATGTCAAGAGGTACAAGGGGCATATTTCTGTTTGAAGACCCCCATTACTCTTCTCTCAACATCTCAGAAGAAAATTAGATTGTTTCTGCAGTCATAAGCATTAATACACTCCTCTTGTCTCTACATTTCTGCCTTTTTTTCTGGATAAGGTGTGATATCCAACATTAGTCATACTTGGAGTATATCCACTGAAATACATGGACTTAAGCAATGTTTCCGAAGTAGAGGCAATCATCATACCAATATAGGAGACATTTCAAGTGAAATCCAGAGACAGTAGTGGTTAATAGAGCAGCATTGCTTAACTGGTTTCCCAGCTTCAAGTCTTGCTGTTGTTTCTCAAAAGGGGAAGGTGCTAGGTGGTGGAGATCTTTGTGCAATAAAGGTAAAAGGAAAGGATCCCTGGATGGTTAGGTCCAGTCAAAGGTGACTACGGGGCGTGGCGTTCATCTCGCTTTCAGGCTGAGGGACCTGGTGTTTGTCCACAGACAGCTTTCCGGGTCATGTGGCCAGCATGACTAAACTGCTTCTGGTGCTTAGAACACTGTGATGAGTGATAGAGCCCACAGAAACGCTGTTTACCTTTCCACTGCAGCAGTGCCTATTTATCTACTTGCACTTGGTATGCTTTTGAACTAATGGGTTCTTAGTGCAACAGGAGAATGATTGCAGAGTCAATCCATGCCCCCCAAGTGTCCCATTTTAAGCGGGACATCCCAGATCACAGAAGCCAATCACGGCTTCTGTCTGGATCCCAGTACATCCTTTGGGACATTCACTCTAGTGCGAGTCAGCAGGGGCGAGCCAGAGCTTTGGTGCACCCCTCCTAATGTCCCAATTCTGGGACTGAAAATGCTGGAAGGTATGGTCAATCATGTGCCATACTCAACTGGAAGAAAGAATATGCCCTTCTGATGAGGGCAATCAGGAACCTTTACCCTGTCCTGCTGTATTGCAGATACTGTATTATAATGAAGTTAGGAATGACTTTATCTTCCCACTTTAAAAGCATTCACCTGCTAGAATGATGGGTGTTAGCAGGTGTGTCACCTAGCCCCCGTGACAGACCGTGCCTGGGGCATGCCAATGTCACCGCAGCATGTACACATGAGCAGGCTCCCCAGTGTGCTGACACCACTCTCACACATTGTGGGGGCGTTTTGACATGATGTGCGCACACCCTGTATCATAAAACTGGGAGGGTTAGTTGAAAATTTATGAGTGTCCAGTGTTTGCTAGAATGGTAGACCTTTTTAAAAGTTTAGCTGTCAAGATGAGAGCTCAGATTATACCAGAAAAAGTTTTGGCTGGATCTAAAGTTGTTTATGTTTTTGTTTGTATTATACTTCATACTGTGTTCTAAATTCCATGTTTGGGGCCTATAACTCCAGTTGCATTTTATAATGAGCCTATAACCATATAAATAAATTGGATATGATTTTCTTCCACCAACCTGTCCATCCTTCTCCATCTACCCTCCTTTGTTTTAGATTATAAATTGGCATCAAAGTGGTTTATGCCCATTTACTTGCCCACTGTGACATGTAACTGGTCCCATAGACTGTTGCAAAGAGCCAGTGATACCCTTGAGAGATAACAAATTAATGGGGCACAAGCATTTGCTGGTTAGAATATGCAAAGTGGCGTAGAAAGTTGTTATAGTATAGCTGTGGATTCCAGATGTGATGATTTGTCTCTGGATTAGGTTTCCTATAGCATTGCAAATGAATAAATATTGGGGGGGGGGGCTGTGTCCTCTGCTGTTCCAGAAACAGTTCCTGAGAGTTTCTTCCAACATTATTTTAAAATTACTCTTGAATTCACATCTGTATCTTTGATTAATTTACTTTTAATTTTTCAGAAGGTAGCCTAGGAACTTGTTGAGAAATTCCTAAAATAAAACCCAGCAATTTTTTCCTAGAGAAATTTCGCCTATTTTCAAACTTCTTTGAAAAATATTTTTTCCCTTCCTTTTTAGATTTGGGACTGTGGAGAAGCATGCAGATGAGTTGAGATGAGTATGGCTTTCCTAGCTTACCCAGTTCAGCGGTAAGTACTGTTAGGATTCTTTTCCCGTGTTGCAGTCATGGGATTGTTTTTATCACACGACGGTGTATGTTTTCATTCCACATTGTGGGAAGTGAAGGAGACAGGATGTTTTTATTACTGTGTTTCCATGATTTGGGATTTTGTCCTTTGCTCTATCTCTTTGCTGTCTGATGCTGAAGAGGAAGGAGCTGAGTCAAGATGCTCTGAGTGTGTATATGTAAATAAATGTAGTATAGTCAAAAGCTGCGCTACTGAGTCTATATGCTGACTGCCTATACTCTGCTGATCCTGAAGTGTGCTTGGTATCAGCCGCTGTGATGTTTGGGCTAGAGAAAGCTTCTGTATCTCCCAAACGATCCATCAGGAGGGAGAGGACATGCCAGTTGGGCATGTGTCTCTGCCGGACTCCTACTCGTGTGTAGGACCTCCTGACAGGTACTACATATTAAAAATACATTTGATATCAAAACATACAAAAGTTATCTTTCTGAAAGGTGGCTTCTCTATGGAGTGTATGTTCCAGAGTTTGTGGAGGCCTATTTTTTCTGTTTTTGTTTAAAAAGCATGCGAGCACCTACTATTATATTTGATATTAACTTCTCATGTTTTATTTCTGGGTCTAAGTGTAGGGAAGTGTAAGATGTTATTAATGATATTATCTTCACTACCTCTTCCCAAAACATTTTAGTTATTGGACAGGTCCACCAAATATGTTCCCTGTTTGCCTTCAAATGTCCACATCTCCAACACTTTGCACCACAGATGGTGTACATTTTACTCAGTCTGCGCAGAGTCATATAGCATTGATGGAAAAAATTGTAATGTTTTTCTTTAAAGTTAACACAAAGAGGTCATGTTGGTCCCTGATTAAAAAGAAAGCCCTGTTCTTATTCAGAGATTGGTCCACCTATTATTCAAATTAGTCAGAAAAGGCTGAATTAGCAAAACAGAACATACATGCAATTTGGAGAGTCCTATGTCTTCTAAAAGGCTTATGGATGGCAGGAAGCCCCCCTTTTATGTACATACTTTGCAATTTGTCATGAAGATCCTCTTCACAAAGGAACAGAAGCTGAGTGAAACTTTAGATTTTGCATAGCTGGAGACTTGGAGGTCATCAGTCTCTCTAACTGAATGACCCCCCCTCCTTCCCCATCATTTGAACCTCATGCAATCCGAGCCTGCTTGTTACTCCTGATTCAGGGTCTGAGCATAAAATAAGGCATTGCCGTTATTGCATTTAGCATCTGTTCCCCTAAGCCCCATACATAATGATTGCCAACTTGCAAAAAAGCAATTCTAAGAATGTCCCTCTCACTCTAGAAAAAAACTATATTTGGCCTTTGGTCTATTTTATTTCATTTGAAATAACTCTTTATTCTGCAAACTGTAAGGTAAAATGAAATGAGATGAAATAAAATAAAATAAAATGAAGTGTTGTGTTCACTGACTAGCAATGGCTCTCCAAGATTTCAAAGATCATTTCTGGGAATGTCAGGGGTTGAACTCAGGGCCCTTTGCTTGCAAAATGTGTGTTTTGTTACTGAGATGACCTTCCTCAATGGATGAAGGCCATTTCTCCCCACACAGCTATGGTTTACATGCATAAGAATTACCAGCTGTTGTTTTTATTGTGTATCATGGATCTGTTTTCCCTTTCCCTTAATGCTGTTGTGCAGTGAGTCCCTTGGGCATTTCTGCCTAGTGCTGGCTTTGTACTGTACTGTCAGACCTATGAACTGTAATTGACATATGGCTGAAAGAAGAAAAAAAAAGCGAGCGAGCCAGGGGTGGGGTCAGGGGAAGAACGTATTGTGGCAAAACCTCACTTTGCATTTCTGACTTATAACAATGCAAGTGATACATGTGCCTGGGCCAATAAGCATTTTGAAATGAAAGTGCACATGAACTCCCCCCTTCTTTATTTTTACTCTTGATTAATTTGCAATATGGCTTTTGTCCAGAATGGAAAATCTATGGAATTTCCAGAAAGGGGGGGGGGAATCTGTGACGGGAGCTGCAGTTTGACAGCAGGGCAGGGGCATTGGTGTTGATGTTAATCAGTATACAAGAGACACAGCACTCCTTTGTAACAACACAATCAAGAAATAAGTTTTTTGTACCAGCGATAAATACGTGTGTGAACACAAGTTACATTGTACTACAGGAGGAACATAATAAATTATCAAAATTAGGATTCTCCCACCCCCGCTTTAAAATTAAAATTAGGAATTCCCGATAATGGATGGTCTGAATGACAGGAGCCCTATTATGTATGCTGCTCACTTTGCTATACTTAAGCCCATGTAATTTCATTATATTTGTAGTGTCTCGCTGTACAACCTGATTGTAAGGAACAATGAGATCGCAGAGCTCTCTTGTAAAATCTGATTTAATCTTGAAATACCTTTATGTGAACAAAGAAAAATGGATAGATGCCATTATCTCAGTACTGTAGTGGAATAACTTTAATATGCAGCTTTATCAAATTAGTGACTTTGGAAAAATATTTCCCTACCATGCGAAATAAGTAGAATGGGATGGTTGCATTCAAGTTGTGTTTCAATTGCCCATGACTCCACATTTCTGGAAAATCTGGCTGCACAATAAGTAGAAGGCATAGCATATGGTCCTGCTTTCGGGTTGATATGGTTAGCACACATTGAACAACAAAGCTGAGACAGGAGGACTTCAGATCATCCTTAAGCAGGAGTGATTTGGCAAAAGGAGTAGTTTCTGTTGATTTCTCCATGGCGATGGAAAAATTCTGTTTGCTCTAGGAGAGTTTGACCACTGTAGTTCAGGCACTGTTGACTTCAAGACTGGCTTGCTTCGATTCACTCAGTGGGTCTTCCCTTGTGCTTGATCCAGAAACTGCAGTTAGTGCAGAATGCTGCAGCACGATGGCTGACAGGAGTGAGGGCCAAGTTCAAGTAGATAAAGCCCTTAACCATTTGGGGCCCATTTACTTATGAGACCGCGTTACCCTGTGTATCTCCACTTGACCATTTGGATCTGAGAAGTGGCACTGTTACAGGTGCCACATAATACCCATGCCACATTTGTAAGAAATTGGTATTGTAGTACACTTTGGAAATCCCTGCCTGTTGACAGGAACCTTCACTGTACTCCTTTTGGCACTTGCTTAAAACATTTTCGTTGAGCCAAGCCTATCCAGACTGTAGGAGGAATTCAACGTCATACGCTTCTGATAATTCAATCAGGACACACATGTCTGCTCACCAGATGGAACAATCCTCCCTCCCCTCTACCTTGCCCTGTTTTTGGGTTCTCCTGACCCACCAGAGTAGGTTTGGGGAGGCACGTGGGCAATGATGGAGGAGGAGGGGGGAGTTCCCTGTTGTGCCAGCAGGAGCCCTGGCCTTGCTTTTGGCTAGCGTGCCAGGTTCAATGAATCCAGACCTTTGCTTTTTAAATAGAAGACTTTTCAAGAAAAGGCAAACTTTTCAAAATCAGTTGTATTATTTCAGTGGTTGTGTCTGTCTAACCTTATTTATATATCTAACAGATTTGTGCCTACCCTTTTATAAAAAAAATGTATGTTGGCAATAGCAGGCAAAAAGAAAGCATAAAATATGCACAATAGGCAACCACACACTTAAGAAGGAGCTAGACCACTGCAGCAGTAGCAGAAACAGAGATCCGGGTAAAGTTTCAATAAACACTAGAAAATAAGATTGGCAACATTAAAGCATGAGTATATGAACAGACTGGTTTGTAATTAAAAGCCTGGGAAAATAAAAAGTTTCTTTACTCGGGGGCAGAGTGGCATTAAGTGTTGGTGCAAGGGACCCAGAACTAGGGAGGGTGTCACCACATTAAACTGATGCCACCACAGAAATGTCAATTCTTCCCCACTTCCTGAATCTCAGCAAGCCAAAGAAGCTGGAGAAGGGCTTCATCAGAGAATGTTAATGAGCTAGCCCTGCCAGTCAAGGGGTGGGGAATGTGGTGCTGGATTACAACTTCCATGAGCCTGCTGGCAGAGGCTGGTGGAAGTTGGAGTCCCTAAACTATTTGGAGGACAATAGGTCTCCAAGCCCAGAATGAAGTCCTTCAAGTTCAAAATCAATGGCTATTTGTGAGCTGATAGAAACCAGAGAGCAAATCTATCTCAATTCCTGAAAGAAATGCTTGTTTCCTGATTCCGTGTGCCTTAAACACATTGCAACCTTTCCTCCCTTTGTTCTACTGTTTTCCTTTACTTTGTTAGCTTCAACCAAACCCTTAAGTTATCAGAAGGAACAATCCACATAAGGTCACCTCATGCATATTTATAGCCTGGTACAGCTTTCCAGAATACTGCTTGGAATGGTCTGATAATTTATCTATGTAAGGAAGCTGTTTAAAGCCTTTGCCCTATAAATTAACATCTATTTGACCCCTGGTTCTAAGAAAACCATATTTAAGAAAGCTTTCGTTGCTCTGGGTTAATACTGAAAGCTTTATGTATTGTTTCACATTGTTTTTAGGAACGAGTACTTGATCCTGTTAATATTTCTTTTTAGTGCCCATCTGGGTTTTTATTGTTACCTCAGATTTATACTATAAACATGAATGTGTTAATGTTCAATCTGAGTGCATAAATTACTGCTGGCAGATGTTACAGCAGTTGTAGTATGGCTCTTGGAGTAAAGAGTAGTGGGTCTTTTGGAGTACAACACTTTGGAAGTATTTTTATTTTCCTTATTGATGCTAAAAGCAAAGACATTTTGTTGCTTGCGGCAAAGTACAAGATGACACCATCCTCTCTTCCATGCCACATATAAGAACCAACTGAACTGGAAGCTGAATCTTTTTTAAATGAAATGGGACAGAGTTGTCCTCTACTACACCAGACAGCGTCAGGCTAGTGGTGCAGACCAGGCTTCTTAGCACACATACAGTAGCTCATACCCTCCCAAGTGTCCTGATTTTCCAGGGAGAGTCCCAGAATTACAAAAGCCAACCCATCTTCTGATTTGATTCCAGAATGTCCC